TATTATATCATTTCTGATCTATGTATATATATTTAGATCCTATTAAACAAATAATGATCTGGCATTAATCAATTCACTTGATCATGTTGGAAATTAAAATTTCTTTATGTACACGGAAAGTACGTTAAAATATGTTTATGTCAAAGACAATCATTATTTAAATGCTTGATTACTTTTAATGAGCAACAATAATGAAGACGTATTTTCATAGAGTTTGCATGAATCTCTCTTTATCTTTATGATAATAATTTTTATTAAGTTTGAAAGAAAATAAAAAATTAATTAAAAAATAATTGCTGACTTTAGTTAAATATGACTGAAATAGTAGGTCTTTGCAAATACATGCATATAGTATATGTTCGATAACCACCTACACCTACACTTGCTTTGCGACTGACAGGTTATGCTTTGCATATTAATTTGAAATGAAAGGAAAATTGAACAACAACTGCCATTTACATAAAGTAAGCCACAAAAATAGCAAAGAGGTCACTTGTGTCATACACTTAATCATCGTTTTTTTTTTTTTTTTAACAATTTTTTTTCCTTTTTCCCCATAACCATATTTTTAAAAAAAAAAAAAAAAAAAAAAAAAATGTATTTAAGATGAGTTGTTTAACCACACAAAACTGCTGGTAATCATTATGCGTACGAGTACACACATGGAATGAAGTGCATGAGAAGCATTTACAAACTTATCAACGAGTTGTTGTCTACAAAGTGAACTATACAATGTTTTTGTATGCATATACATATGAGCATGCATATATACATATACTTCTTTAAAATGACCTTGAAAAATATTTCATATCTATATATATATATATGGAAGCATATGTGTATTTATATACATGTTTCGTTTTTGTTTAACATTTTCGTCATTTCTTTTGTTTTTCTATGTTTTTTCTATTGTTTCTATTGTTTTTTGTATTGGTAGGCTATTAGTTTTGCTACATCGTCTCTCGTTACTCTCCCGATAAATTCAAGTCAGATTCTTTGGTTAGGGTATAACTTGCTGATCAGATTGGAGTCTTTTTACTATTGTCAGCGCTTATGTGGTTATTGAGAATCGTTCTCATTAATCTCTCTCAAATTTTCGTGAGACTCGCAGATTTTGCGATAGTCAAGCATATATTCCTTATCCGAGGACTTCCTTTTGGCAGTTATCAGAGAGCGTTCATAACTCCTTTTGAATTATATAAATACTCCTAACTGCGTTAACTAGTAGAGTCGTTTTAACCATATTGGGTGGGCTGTCCGTTTTCTGAAACTACCTTTACGGGCCTAAACCTTTAGATAAAAGAACAAATTAAGATTAGAAGTTTCTCTTTCAACTCCTCTTAGCTTAAATACCAATAGATCCACAATCACACATAATTAAAATTCGTTTTGTTTTGCTTTCTTACACATTATGGAATCAAAAGTTTGCATAGCATGCTGAACATCTTTTCATACTCTTAATGCATAAAGTTCGCTAATCGATCGGAAAGGCCTTCTGTTATCAAAACTCTATGTATATTTTTAGTGATATTTTTGGTTTATTTAAAATTTGTCATTTTTATTTCTAGCTTTCTTAGATATCGTCTAAAATAGTGGCTTGTAATCATAATAAATGTAATGTTTTCTGGCCCGTAAGATCTTCATTTTACCTGGTAGTCAAACGTGTATTTTATGTATGAATAATTAAGTACAAGGTAATAATAATTTAATAAAAGTTTCCTGTAAGGCTTAGTTCCAAGTGTTAGGAAAGTTCTATCCCACTTTTAACTTTACCTTGCCTTCTTTTTCGTTAAGTTGGAGAGTTTTGATTATGTTCGTACATAACTGATTCTAGATGAATTGTTTTATGCACTTTTAAATATGAATGAATGAATATTTGATTTAATTACTCTCGGAAGTGTAAAAATTGTTGTTATATTATTTTCATTTTAATCTTTTGAGATAAAAAGCTCTGATTAGAATATTGGTGGACAGATAACCTGACGTCTGCTTACTGTTGTCATTAAAATAACTTATAATATAAATTGCATAGCATAGCCTGCAATAAGTTTAATCATTTTGAGTTTTCTTCACATTCACACTTTTATACTGTATTCGCATTTTAGCATTAAAGAAGTTTCAAAAGAATTCGTAGTTGATACTCTATAGTATGAGTTAACACTGTGACTTTTCCATATAAAAGCACTTCTCCTAAGCGCCCCATAATAATGTAAGTGACACTTTGTTGAAAGGTTCTTCATTTTTGCGGGTCTGATGATTGTCACGAAGAATTAGGTAGAGGTGTTTTTAGGAGCTTTGAATAATGTTAAGTTTTACTCAAAAAAAAAAAAAGCACCAACCGCGGGATGCGTTTCTTTTGTTTCTTTTGTCTATTCGAAGAAAATTGTTATTGTTGGGTAGAGATAGCTGATGAAAAATGTTTAAATATTGCCTAGCGATAATTTAACATTAACATGGATTCGAAAAAATTGAATAGACGTGAGGCACGTGCAAGCTTGACGACCTTTATGGAGGTGGGACATGTTAAGCATAAACGAGAAGCTGAGATGGAACATGTTTTTAAGAGACTTATTTCTTCGTCATAATTGGATTCCATAAGGATTTGCACTAATGAAGATATTTTACAAAATCAATTTTTTTATTGGCTTCATAGACACTTTGAAGCCTCTTGAATATTGGGAAAAAAATCATTCATTGAATGAAACATTTCGAGACCTTCTTCTGTGAAGACTAATTGTGTTAAGTGAATTGCTACTAGAAAGTTAGAGTCTAACGCTTTGCCCTTTGATTTTGAATTTCGCTCTCATACACAGACGTCTTTGGAAAATGGTCATGTTCACTTAAGAGAATCTGGAAATAAAAATATCTCAGCGTATTTCCATCGAGACGAATAGCAGGCGGAGAAAGGAGTCAGTGTTTTTGCCAAAAAATTAAAAGCGCGCGGTGAGAACTTTGATCAGTTGGAATTAATTATATATTATATGATTTTTCTCTGAGATGCCAAGGACTTAAACGGAAGCGAAAGGATCGCTTGGTCTTAACTAGATATTCCCTACAAAATATTTTAAAACTCGATTTGAAATTGTTTTCTTACATAATGAAAATGATCGAACCTTTGCTACCTTAAAATGTCAAGTATAGTCTACGATTAGGTTTTAAGAGCTATTGTGCACAGTTACTTTTGTAATTCCGACAACGTTTTATAGGCTAAAACATATATTGATTTTTGAAATGATATTTTATATCTTTTGAGTTTCAAATATTTCATAACTTTGATTGCGATAATAAAACTTACATTTTTAATGATTTTAAGAGGGCTTTACAACTAAAGGAAAACGGTTTTTTTTTGTGTTTTTTTTTAAATTCAAGCCACAAACTGTTAATTGCAATAGTTACGTGATCGAAATGCACTTCAACACCAATGATCGTTTATTTTAAATAATCTTTGTTTATTTATTAATATTATATTGTTGCTTATGTTTTATTTCTTATTTTGATTTCTATTTGAAGCGCTAAATTTTGCATTTAAAGTTTAAACAAACACGACTTGTAAACAACTGATAGTTTGGTCAACTGATTGCACCAAACATTTTTCGGTGTAGTTGTTCAAGCGGCTTAAAAATAAAGTTAATATTAAGTTTAAAATATTTACTTTACCTTGCTGTACGTTATACGGACAAAAACTAGTTGTGTGAAGAGATCAGATCTCTCAATTTTAGCAGAAGTAGCAAAGTTTCAAACCATTCGTTCATAATGCAGTTATGCATATTGAAACAGAGAATCGCTGATAAGAGAGAGAGAATGATGGATGGCGTTTATCTGTTGGGATTTATTAAATTACTTAGGATTAAAAAATGATTAAATTTTATATTTGTAAATAGGTGTTAAGCAGTTAAGTTTTTATGTCCACTACATTGGGAATATTAAGTAAGTCATACATTCGCCCCTCGCAGACTTATATCAATATAAAGCAACGTGAGTAGGGGAATCGTTTAGCGACATTTGCGATAATTTTTTAAGATGTTTGCATAGACTGTCAAACACCTTCGCTTTTTGCCTACGATTACCTGAATCTGAAAATTATGAAGTTTTATGTTATTATTGTACATTTGATCGTCGAGTGTTTTCTATTATAAACCATGTTCTCTAAGCCTTCGATATATTGCCTTAAGAATCGCAAAGCTTAAATTTGTTATGTTGTAAATGTAAGTTAACAATGTGTATGACACTATGGGCAAACAATAATGAGGTTGTATTCTTTTAAAAGACTCGCCGCTATGATATAGCTTTCATTAAGGACCAGACAAAGGACTTTGTCTTCACACTACGGCTTTTTTTTATATCGTTTCGAATTAGCGCGTGCCCCGTTGCGTCTTCATTTACGGATTAATGAAGGATGCATGTCCACAATTAAACGGTAAAATTGTTTGCTTTTCATTTCGACACATATGTAAGCTGATTGAATTTCAACGTAAGAGCTTCAAAACGTTTTCTAAATTGTCTATGTTCTATTTTGTTATACCCTACACCACTTGCGGTTCAGGAGTTGAGTTTGTGCAAATGCACACAAAACCGGGAAGATCTTAAAATAAATCCACCTTTTATTACACCGATTGATTCACAATCACTTTCGAATCGAGCTAAGCTCGTCTGTCCATCTATCTGTCTTATATTTTTATGTGCAATCTGCAGATCGCTATTGAGATTTTGTTGATAAACTTTGGTGCACCGGTGTATTTTGGCCTAAAAACGAACGCTATTGTCAATGGTTTGAATCGGACCCCCTTTCGACAACTTCCCACATAAAACTTTATTATGCTATATGAACTATTAAGCGAAGTAGTGTAGGCTATTTAATGGTGAACCATGGCCCACATATAATGTTTTTATATGTTTGCCATATCAGCATGTTCTACGGGTTGTTTATTATTGATAAAAATAAATTTTATTGTTATAGTGTTCCACATAAGGCTTCGATTTGGATAAATAAAGCGCATTTTTAAATTTCTTTTTTTTATAAGAAGAAGAATAATTTGCCTGTCATCCTGATTAAGAGTATATTCCTTTGGTTTCTCTGGATTCTATAAGAGAAATTGTGGTATAAAAATAAAGACGAACTGGTGGTGGCATACGTATGTGTACGGAATAGACGAGTAAGTTCGGCCAGATATAAAATAGCCTTCTCGTGGTTCTGTCTTCGACTAATCGTATTGGATCGTACCTAAGTTGAACTCAATGCGTAGTTTCCAACTTCCTAACTTCTTAACCAACTAACCTTTCTTGAAGAGAGAGATGTCCTACGTTCGTTGAACATTCTCGTTTGTTGTAATCACATTTTTATAGGCCTTTGATTAAAAATACAAAAAACTCTGATTAGATAAAATCGCTCACTTACCTCTAGGAAGCTAGATAAACCAATATTTATTTAAATGCAAATGCAAATAAAGGTAATTTTACAATACGCCATATATAGTGTAAACAATACGTATAAAATAATGTTATTGTGCAGAGTTTGTTTTTCAATATGATTTTTTTTTTTTTTTGATTACAATTAAAATAACCATTAACTCTAAGTTACATACATTTGAAATTTAATTTAATACAAAATTATCTACTAAATCTTCCAACATATCACATAATCTCGTATGGTAAACTTCGTCGGTATGAAAAGCTTTCAAACATATCTCTACACGTTTGCGATTGAAAAAATCACTAAAACCATTCGCCGATGAAGTCAAACTTTGAGTCAACTCTTCTGGAAGTATAGTCAAATGCGAAAACAATAGACTTTCGATTAAACCGCATATACGAAATTCTTCGAATGAAGCATAAAATTGTTCTTGAGTTAGAAATTGATTCAATGACAAACTTTCCCCTTTCATTAAGTGTGACATGTATTGATAGTATTCCGTGAGCAAGGACATTAAATGTCTTTTTCGAAACTCACGACTAGTTGGTATCGTTAGAAGGGTAATCAAATCGAGCATAGGAGGAGCGTAACGTGCCAATTGAAAGTCAACGAAACGGCACTCAATGGGTTCATTATCACTTAGCGAATCCTGAAACATTACATTATTAGCCCAAAGATCGCCGTGGCTAAACACGTTGCAATATTTATTAGAAGTTTGAGATAATTTGAAAATTTTTTGCATTTTTTCCGGTAACTGATGTAAAATATTTTCCAAATTTTTTTCATACTTCGGTAAAACTCTTAGAATTTCTTTAAAAACATTTACAGCATTCGAAAAATTCTGATAACGAACGTGATTTGCTTTCATATTCAAAGGATAAGCATTCTCGACTACTGCGTCTGGATGTAAAGCATTTATCTTACTCTTCATTCTTATTTCATAGATCAAAGACGCTGCATGCATTTTGGCTAAAGACTTGATAGCGCAACTCAAATGCTGATAATCTAATAAGCCATCGCGTTTAGCATCCATTCGATAATTCTTGTGCTTTAAATCTTCGAATATTAACATATTTTTATCGGCGTAATAGCATCTCGGAGCCACTTGACCGAAAATTGATTCTAAATGCGGCAGTACCTCACGATAGACTAATATTTCCTTTTTAAATACACCAAACTCTTCTATGTAAGCCATACGTGAAGGAATTTCCATAGGAGCGGATTTAGTAAAAAATCTCAATACTTTGTATGTCTCATCGTTAGTATCACATTTGAAAGGATTAGAAATTTCCACTAAAAGATACTGATGAACACCCAAATAACCGGCCGGATGCTCGCCAATCAGATTGAATTCATATTTTATAACATGAAAATCTTCTGGAACAGCTGTTAATATCTCTTTAGTAGCGCTGCAATCTTGCAGAGAATTAAAGCATAATTCTTGCATTTCTTTAAAACTCAATTGTAGCGTAGTAGCTCCCATTGCTATATAGTAAGTATTGTAAAGGCAATGATCCAACTGGCTTGACAGATGTTAACTAAATAAAAGATGACTTTTTGAAATGAAAAATATTTAAAATCTATCTAAAGTAGTTATCTAGATTGCGATATTAAGCAATAAAGAATTTAGAGATAGACTTTCAAGTTTTAATTTGACATTTGATTACTATTTCAAAAGTTTGTGCTTGCCTCTATAATGATTAATATAAGATCTAAATTTAGGCAGAGAGATCAATTAAGAAGATTCACTTCGGGACGAATCTTGGATACTCAACGCATCAAAAAATATATACAAAACTTGAGGGAGGGCGTATCAATTAATCACTTCTGCGCTATAGATGGATGGGCGACAAACATTTTAACAGGATATTGTTTATAAATTGCAAGCTATCCAGGGCAATACTTAGAAGGTTCAGTTTTGCATAGAAATCACTTTCATTGTCAGAGTTAGTCAAGACGCTGCCTTTAGGCTTTCTGGACATTTTTTTTTAGCAGACTTTGAAAACCCAAGGCTAAATTGGCACAGAAAACTCTTTATGAATAAGTGCGATATGTATTCTAGTAGTGTGATTGATTGATCAATGATATTTATCTCTAAGTCTTCCAATGGCACAGGGAAAATGAACTAAACATTTGAAGCATGGCACAAGATAAGAAACGCATACGATGTTTCCTGGTATAGCAAAAAAGCTATTGGAATTGCGGCAGAGAGACCTAGGCTTGGCTATTGCTTTCTTGCTTAGATATGATTTGAAAGACTCTCTCAAAGACCGATGGTTCCCTTTTATCAAATTTTCCGTAAATCCTTAGATATCTATGGAATTAGATATAAGATAAGTGGCGAGCAATTTTTACGATCAGATACAAGACATTGCTGCTAAGCAAAGCAGAGAATGCGATTCAGAAGAATCTTTAAGCTGATAGTCTAGGAACTTGGACGAGTTCAATATGCCTTTTAGGTAGAGGGAGACGAACAGCAATAACGATAAATATTACAATTGAGTTTTCCCATTGGCGAGACCATCTGCGAAGTGCATTCCTGGCGCCACCGCGCCATACACAAAGTGCTTACATTCACTCTACTCCTTACTAATACATATGAACAATCAAAACTTAGCATATGGATCTACAATTTTAAAAGTATTTCTTGCTTCTAACTTTAACGCATTTCTACGATTTTTCAGCTTAATCTTCTTGTAAGGGAGAATCGAAGTCTATAATAATTATTTCCATCGATGGACAAACGCACACACAATCAAATTGAATTGATTTCGTGATTCAAGTTGATTATCGGCATATGTATGGATCATCCTTATTTACAATAACTTAATATAATAAACGTAAACAATAAACTTTAATATCTTTGCCTCTGATAGAATATAAACAAAAATGTGCTAAAATAATTTTTTCCCACCATTGTGGTGGTGTCGGTGCTAAAAATGTGTGCTTTCGATATAATTGCCTTTAAATCAATTTTAACAATTTTTTTGTTATTGTTATTATTGTTTTATAAAATCGGCGATAACAATCCGAGCGTGAAACTTTACAAATCTGATGATAATTAGTGTTAGTTTAAATTCAATAAGCAATCGACGCGATAAAGTGAAAAGTAAACAATAGAAATATATAGAAGAATATAGAATCAGAAAAGTGATTGAAACGATTATTCGTGAAAATTTTAGTATCGCCTCGTATATGCAATAAAGTGGTGAAAACAATTAAAAAGCATTTTGAATGGGAGAAAAAAAACAAAAAAAAAAAAACAAAAAGCTTATCATTTGAAATGAAAATGCAAGTGAACGTGCAGATGAGAATGACGGTTGAAAGTAAATGAAAGAAGAAAATTTGGATCGCAGCCAAATAAATTGGAAAAATCGAAAACGAAGACGATGTGCATAAGCGTCTAACGAAATGTCTACAAAAGCTTTAAGGGATTTGTTTATTATCAAAAACTTTTGTCATGAAATTATAGGAAATTATAATCGAGAATATCAAACTCTGTTAACTGTGAAAGAGTTTTTTATTGAGCCGGTTACAGAAGTAGTTGGATTTCTTTGCGATTATCACAGCTTAACGTTGCAATGCTTTGAAGAGATGAAAAGTGAAAAGGTGAGTTTCGAGAAAATGCGAATTCTCCTAATTGCACAGTCATATTGACAAGAGGAATATTTAAACTTCTTAGACGCGAAGCGTAAAATTTTTTATTAAGTCACTCCCTGCGGTCGATGAAAAAGATGAGCGTATCAAAATATTTGAGAAAGAAAAAGAATTGTATCGCTGTCTTTTACCCTACTTGCTAAAGTATTGTAAGTGCTCAAGTCTTCAAATATTTGAGCAAATATTTAAGTTAATATATTTCTTTTTTTTTTTTTTTGTTTTTTTTTTATTAAGCTGAAGAAATTTGGTTACCGAGATTATATCTCTGCGATGATCAATTACTTATCCTAGAGGATTTGCGTGAACTTGATCTTGCTGATTGCCGCGATCACCTCAACTTAGGCGATATGGAAATGTTTAATATTATAAAAAGTTTAGCTATAATGCATAGTTCAAGTATTGTTTACGAATTCTGTAACGGCATATGTATTGGTGATGCGTTTAAAAATTGCCTGCAAGAAATTACTTTAAGCTCTTCGGTGCCTTGGCTAAATACCGGACTTAAGGCTTTAGTAGAGGTAGCGAAAATTCATCCCAAATATAAAACCGTTAAGGGACAGGCTTTCATTGCAAACGAACTATTATCACATTTGTATATGATTTGCTCTATGGCCGACACATCCTTAAAGTATCGTAATGTTTTGTGTCATCGCGATCTATGGGGTGGTAATATATTTTTAAATCATCAAAATCCTCACCACGCAGCCGTATTCGTTGACTTTCAAACTTGTCGTTACAGTCCTCCTGCCATTGACATTATTTTCATCATATTTATGAACTTAAGCAGAGAGCAACGAATCCTCTCAGAATATGTTTACCTCCGATACTATTATAGGCAATTACTTAAGAATTTCGAATATTGCGAAAATAAGACATTTTTAACTATTAGCGAGCAAGAGTTGCATGAGTCTTATAAAGAATTTCAATTGTTAGGTTTAGTATATCGATTTTTAGCTTTAAGTATTTTAAATGTTCCCCGCGCTATTGTTAATGATCATTATAAGAATGTAGAACGTTCGGAGCAACTCTTGGAATATATGCAAAGAAATAAGGAATTGCGATCATTAATATTCGAAAGTGTGGCAGATATTATTGATTGGATTATTGAGAGAATTGAGAAGTAAATACTTTCCTCTCTCTCTGATCGGATTACGATTGCAATTATTCGTTTTATTCATAATCAGAAATGTTAAAAGATAGAAGAAATTATTGATTAGCATGAAGTAATAGCGATCGGTTTTGACTGTTGTCGCTTTCCAGTATTTCTTAAATAAAAATTTTGGCCTCTAATGGGGAAAAAAAATTTTGCGTTGTTCGTTTGCGTAAACTTTGGTCTTACTAACCAAAAGTGGGCCTTATCATTGAAAATTAAGGACTGTCCCTTTCTTCGGTAAGGGTTCAATAAGTGCACAGCAAAGTCATTTCGTTCGTGACCCTTCACCCTTCGGCTTCAGTTCATAACTAAAGGGAAACTCACATACACTAGCTCGATAAAATCTACATACAATAGGAAACATTATGGTTTCTCTTATTAAAAACTGCATTGACGGGTTGAGGGTCAAAATTATTATTTCTTAGGAAACAAAAGCTTGTATTAAATAACACTTCAAGATTTGTTTTGACTTAAGAGAAGCAAAAAACATACTTTAATCAAAACAAGTACGGAAATTACATGACGTTGGGACGGAATCTTTTATACCCATCACTGTTTGTCCAAAAAGACAAAAAACGTAAAAGAAGTAAATTTTCATGTTGTAGGGACGCCCTTGGAAAAGTTAAAGTCACTTCAAAATGCTTTGCCAAATTTGCAGGCGTTAACTACACAGTTGCGCAGACGCACAGATGGGCAGATGATCAAACGGAAAATGCATTCCACTTTTGAAACTGCCTAAGAATTTATATACTTTGTGGCGTTTTTGAAGCTGGTTTCTGCGCGTTGTAATGGTATTGAAACGAGAAATTACATTTTTGCATTTGAAGGCGTGGACAACGTCTTTCATTCTTGTACAGGTACTACAGCATCGCCTATTGAATCCGCTACAGTTTATAAATAATAAGCAAAAAATCAATTTTTTATTCCATTTGAAAAACTAAGATATTCTCAGTTTACGTAATGTTGTGGGCGTGTCCTTCGAACGATTTGTCTCATTTTCAATGCCAGGACCTAGAAGTAGATAAAGCCAGTAAGGATTCATCCCGAAACCGTTGGTAATATTACTTTACTTTAAGACCTAACGATTTTCTTTTTTCCTGTATGCACTGTATGTAGACTTTATTGGAACACCGTATGCAAGCATTTAAGGCTTTGTAGAAAACTTTTCTGCAGAGTTGCCGAATTGCATCAAATGATCCTCGATATCGTCTGCAATCGTTATATTTAGATTTTCGTGAAAACTTATTCTTTTTGCCGGAAACTTTCTTTTACTAACTCAAAGTATTTACACAATTTCGAATCTGCTTACGCAAGAGCTTCATTTTGACGCTAAAACGGGAATTTTGATAAAAAAATTTAAAAGCTTGCAACAATCTATTAAAACTTCTTGTCCAGCGTAATGATTAAATGATGGTTCCTCTGGAAAATGTAAGAAATCAAATCGGAAAACACGTAGCCTTTAACATAAGTAAGATAGAGTGGAATTTATAGAAGAGAATTATTTCTTCTTGAAAAGGGATTGAGATAAATATTATTATCAAAATATATTTATAAATGACAAATAAAGTTAAATTTATCAAAATGAAAAATTCTTGAAACGAACAAAAAAGTTTATTTTTTATTATATCAAAAAAAAAATATATATATATATATGGGACACGTGCATTTAAAAGAAATATATTGAGATTGATTAAAATGGATCCTGCAATCGACAAGAATATGGGTATGCTGGTGCGAGCTTATTGTGAAGAGATTTTAAATAACTACAACACAGAAAAGAATAGTGTATTAAGATTCAAAGAATTCACATTAGAGCCCGTGACAATTACTGAAAATCTTTGGGGAAGCCTGCAATGTAATTCGTCGCATTATTATTATTTGATTTTTGAATGTCTTTTGGACGAGAAAGAGGTGATTCATTTCAACACATTTAACGTTACTTAACTTTTATATGTATTCTCTCCCTACTCTAGTACACTCAAAAAGTCTCAGATGAAAATAGTGAACAAGAAACTGCTGAGATAATAAAGATAACATTTTTCGTTAAACAAGAGGTAACATGTGAGAGAGATAACGAAAAGTATTCAGTGTTTAAAAAGGAGAGCAATTTGTATTGCTCTCTACTGCCATTCATGCTGGAATTTTGTGAGTACACATTTTAAAATGATAATCGAAATAAATGAATAAAAAAATGGTTTCGATTATTTTAATCGTTAAAACTAGCCGAGAGAGTATGGTGTCCAAGAGTTTATTTATGTCGGAGAGATATTCTAGTCTTTGAAGATCTGAGGGAAGTTGGCTATATAATGTATAAAAATCTTTTGGCTTTCACCGAGACAGAAATTCTTTCGATTCTGAAGGGTTTGGCTGCAATGCATAGCTCAAGTATAGCTTATGAGCGCTTCAATAGCCCGATTGGAGATTCGTTTGAATATTGCTTGGAAGAAACACTACTGGATCCCGCATCGGACTGGTTTAAAACGGGCGTGAATGCACTCTTCGCAGTTGCTAAAATTCATCCAAAGTACACGAAAGCGAATGAACTGACTTTTATCAATTTGGATTTATTGAATGAAATGCAATCAGTTCCTGATATGGTTAATCCGTCATTGAAATATCGCAATGTGCTCTGTCACCGTAGCGTTTGGGTGGGTAACGTTTTCTTACCGCTCAATGATGCAGATGCTTCAGCTGTTTTTGTGGACTTTAAATCCACCCGTTATTGTCCGCCAATTATTGATGTTCTAGTTGTTCTATTTATGAATCTGAACAGAGAAGAGCGTCTTAAAAAGGACACGTTCTATTTAGACTTCTATTATAATGAATTCGTTCGTAATTTAGAGAAGAATGAATTATGCGAAGATGGAGCAGGTATTTCAAAAGATCAATTTTGCGAGTCCTACGAAGAATTCGAGTTGTTCGGCTTGGTCCTACGCGGGTTAGCATGCACTATTTTAAGAGTGCCTCCTCAATTTGTTGATGATAATTACAAGACAATTGATCGCTCACAAAAGATGCTTACGTATATGACGGAGAATGAAGAATTTCGTAGTATAATGTTGGAAGTATTGGAAGATATTATCGACTACGCTATGCCAGAATGCTGCCCTGAGGATGAATAGGTTATTAGAAATATTAGCTTAATGCAAATTTCTCTACGTTATTGCTACGATCATAAACCCTATTGGTGAAGATTATATATGACATTTTCTAGATATTAACCAGTAGTTCCCAACCTTGTAATTGTAATTGGAAAATTAATAAAGTAAATCAGAGATTTTTTCATTAATCGGCTTTGTAATACGATTTGATTTCTCTTTTGTTTTTTGAAGTCGACATTTTGCTGAGAGCATTACCGACACCACTTTGGATTGCTTGCTTGTCGCTACAACTGCGAGCACTGTAAATGGGCGATAGTTAGTCGTCAAACAGCACTATAAACGGAATTCATTTTCACAATTTTCGATTCCCGACCTTCCTTAAACGTTAGACGGGTTAAAGCAATAATAAAAATCTCCTAAGATTATTGAGCGTTCCGACATCTCAGTGATTCGAGAGCGGTGTTTATTTAGTGCTGGATTTTCATTGTATACGAAATTGATTTTTAAAATGGTCGACAAAAACTATTCCTTCGTTTGATCGGTTCATTCAAATAATGAAAAAAGTAAATACAAGGTATATATGTACGGGATTTTCGTAAAGACAAGAAGCGTTTATTGGTATTAGCAGAGCGCAAACAACGATAGTGTTTTCAGAAACAGTCAAAGCGACAGGTAAGTTACAAATTCTCATACTCTTGAGCAGTGCGTGCGTGGCCGTCCGGAATGGGGCCTTTAAGATAACAAGGTGCTCTTGCATTCTCGGCCCGACAGCATACTATAGCTCCCCTTTGACAGTTTGTGGATACCTGTTGTTCTTTTGAGGCAAAGCAGTCGTCCAGTCGTGTTTGAACATTTCGGTGAGCAGTGAAGCGCTGGTTAACAGATGCACACAAGTTCTTATCTTAAGAACTAGAGACGGGTGAGTATGACCAATTGGCTGGCGCTTCTCAGTTGAATGCTTCCGAAGTATCGCCAATGGATGCATGGATGAATGGACGGATGTCAAGTAACAAATGACTTTGACTACGCCTGCAATTTAGGCTAAAAAGTTTGCGAATACATAGGGTAAGCTATAGCATATATTTTTATAATTTTGCCGCAATTACTTACGGTCGACCTAAGAAATTGCATATTTTGTTTTTTCAATTATCGACGGACTTTCGCATATATGCGATGCAATGGCTTGAAAAAATTGATGTTAGAAAAGTTTCTCTAGGCCACTTATTAACAAAGACAAGGCATCAATTTTCTTTTACCTAATATTATAAAGTGCACTGTACACCTACTTTTTGAAGGTGTTAGTGTTAGTGTTTTCAAGCTTTTCAAAAGCTTTAAATAAGTACCCCTCTGCCAACAGTTGGTCGGTGTGAATGTATAACAGTTATAAACGCTTATTTCCATATAATTCATATTTGCTTTTTCGTTAATGCCGGAACAAACATTGTGTGCCTTAAAGATCGTCTTATAAATGCACGCTCAGCATATTATTTGAGCTACTAAGCTTCTTATTCTTTTATTGTGCCTTCAAGCAAGAGGAATACAGTTCCGAAAACATTGTAATGCTATTCTACCGAATGGGGTCTCACGTTTCACTTATTTGCTCGGCTTTTAATTTTCTCTTTCGCTCTGCTCTCGTTCTACTCGTTAAGAAGAGCGATGCATCAAAAAAAATTTCCATTATCATGAAACTGAATTAGTTGACTGACTAGTTGATTATAATCATTACAGTAGTCAACTACATAGTTATTTATTCAGTCGGATAATTTATCGTAAAGTAAATATCAACATGTCGATAAGTAAACTTCAAGATATTTTAAGCTTAGCTGAGTGCTTACAGATTGTTAGCAATGATTTAGATACGAAGCTAATAAAAGAGATAAAAATTATAAATTATGAGATAAAAGCAGCAGATGATCTTTGCGGATTTATGGGCGAATATTTTAGATTAATCGTTAAAGCGCAAATAATAATAAACGTACGTAAGCGTGAATATGAATTCAAATAACTTTTCTATAGAATATCAACTTTTGCAGGCCAGCGAGTATTCAGAGAAAATTTTTAATTATTTCATAAAAAGTCTCCCGATTTGCAATAAATTACAGCGTCTGCATTGCGAAAGCATAGGAGTTCTTCGAAAAGAATCGGGAATTTATAAAAATGTTTTACCAAATCTGCAACGTTATGCTAGCAAACAACTTTTTGCGAAATGTTATCTAGCGAGAGATGATTTAGTTGTTTTGGAAGATCTGATGCAAACCGATAAATGCATCAGGCATTTAAAGTCGAATGAATATAACGAAAAGTATTATAAATTAGTTTTACAAGACTTAGCTCAGTTACATGTTGCGAGCATGTGCTGGGAACTAAGGGATAAGATTGACATACAAAAAGACTTTGGCCACATATTGTGTGAATTCGAGCTAACGGTTACCAACGAATGGTTTCGCACGGGTGTAAGGGTAAGTAGTACTTAGAATGCTATCAATGATATTTTAAAATATTGATTATAGTTTTCGTTAGAGCATTCTATTTTTAGCTCAAAAGCATCCACAATATCAATATAAAATCGCTCAAGATTTTATTAAGGAAAAACTTTGCGAATTATTAGAAAATTTGGATGAATTCATCAATGCCTCGTCTTCACTGCAAAATGTCTTCTGTCATCGCGATGTTTGGGGTGAAAATATATTTTTTCAATATGACGACAAATGTACAAGCGAGCCGATTACTTGTCTACTAGTTGATTTCTCATCGGCCCGGTATTGCCCACCTGCTATAGATATTCTATATTTCCTTTACAATAACTTATCGTCAAATGAAGAAGAAAGAGTTGAGCTTTTGAAAATCTTATTGGATTTTTATTATAAATCTTTGTCTGAATTTGCGAGAAATTTGAATTTAAATTTGGATACGTATACGCGTAAACATTTTGACGAGGACTGTCAGCGAGCTTTGCTACCGGTTTTAGTGCAAAGAGCTATATGTGAACCGTTAATGAAATTGCCGGAGGGATGGGCGCAAAAAATGCGAGATGAAGAGAGTGCAACTTATGATCATTACATGAATGTCGATCGCACGGAAATGTTTCTACGGGTTTCTCAATTGGATAAAAACTATTGGAATTTGATTTTGAAACCTATACAAGAAATAATGGAATATTTTGGTTTTCAAGGCCAATAACATAATAATAAGGGCACATCCATCTCATTTACTCCTATTGAGATTTTGTATTCCAAAGCAACAGTATTTTTCAAAATAATCGTTTAAATAAATTTAAAAAGTGCGGACTTAAAGTCTGCCGAATAATTTAGATCACATGCTCACGTGTATTGAAAACTTCACTGCACTTGGGATTTGAACCCGCGACCGTAAAATTGTTAGTCATGATCCTTTGCCTGATCGGGTACTTATGCGGTATATTTTTTCAAAATATTAATTTCGCAATAAACCCACCATTTCGAGAGAATATGACCTGGAAATTATTAACTTTTTCTTTTTTTGAGATATCGAAATCCTTAATGTTCTAGGCGGTTAATTGGTTGAGTTTGACAGTCTTTATATTGGTTGAATAAGATAACAATTCAGCATCGCGGCAAGAGTGGAGGAGTGAAGAAAATATTACCCCGTCTTCATATATCACGTGTTTATTTGTATTAAAAACTCTACCGCACTTGGGATTTGAACCCGCTAACATTGCAATAAACCCACCATTTCGAGAGAATATGACCTGGAAATTATTAACTTTTTCTTTTTTTGAGATATCGAAATTCTTAATGTTCTAGGCAGAAGGACTGAAGGTGAAGGAATGAAGAAAATATTAGCCTGTCTTCAGGCAGTGGTATTTTGCAAAAAAATCTTGAATCTGCCTACGTTTGTGCGAGATTGAAAAGGGGTTCGAATGCTTGCCAACAGCAAGAGGTCACGTCTGGTTTGAAAAAATTAAAATTACTCTTTATTTCTTTGTTTTGAGCATATCGGTATTGAGAAGAAGAACGAATTGGATTTTTGCGATCTTAGCCCTGTGATAAGTGCCTTTAATGAAAAACACTATGATTAAGTTTTTACTTCTCTTTTTATTTATTTAACAATTTTTTTTTTTATATATACGTATGTATTGCTTAACTTGTATAAAGCTTATAAAAATTTTTTTGATGAACATTTCCGATAACACAAAAGCAAAATAATATGATGGTGTCATAAAAATTCGAGAGATAATATTTTTCGAAACAAAATTTTAAAAGTTTCTTTCTTATGTGTAGTTAGTTAATTACCTTTAAAAAAAGCCATATATTGTAATAAAGCAAGAATAGGTTTTTGTTCTTTTATTTCGTTGTTTTCATTTTCACATTCATCATCATCATCATCATTTCTATACCTTAAACTCTTATTACTCAGTCCAACCATCTTCGTCATCATCATCATCATCGAAATCCTTTAGATTAAAGTCCTCATTGAACAAATTTTCGCCCTCTGAGGACTCTGATTGTCATCTATTGCCGTTAACGCGATGCGGTATTGTTACAATACCCTTAGGTGGCCTTGGTATACGTATAGTTGTTGTTGTAATACCAGTTTTAGCCGATACGCTAGGTATTAATTGTTCATTAACAATGGACGTTTGATTAAGGCAAGAACAGCATATGTTATCACATCTGATTAGTAATATAAGACCCGAGATTAGCCAAAATACTACGGCAGGCCAAGAATATGAAGCGCACGAAGCAAACAGTATTATGCCCAAAAAAATAACTGAGCAACTTAATATCGGGCTAACATTAACGACATTGCCGGTGTGCTTAGGTATTAAACACATCATTAAACTGATTATAAAAACGCCTTAAAGGAAAAAAGTTCATCTTGAAAAGAGTCGCTTTGCCTACTAAATAATTAGGAGAAAATTTTAAATACCTATGGCACCTGTCAGAGCTGCCGGAGCCCAGTGCATGAATATTCCGGCCAAGGTCAAGGCGACGCCTAAAAATATTACCACTATGGCAAACATGGTAACGCGCCAAGAGGCTATAGTTGGCATACGTGAATTACGGTCCAAAGCACCGGCTGTAGTAACCTAAAATGAAGGTAAGAAGAAGAGGAGATTTAAGGTTCATACCAATCCAGCAATTAATTTTCGAAACTTATTACATTTATAAAATTTATAAATTTAGGCACTTGTTTTTATAAAACAATACTTTTAGAAGAACTTTTGGATCCTTTCTCATGAAATTGTTAAAAATTTAAAAAAGCCCCTTAATTGCTTGCTCGTCTTGACTCCAGTTGGGAAATTAAAGCCCTCTTGAAAATGACCAATCGTTAGTAAATATATAAAAAATGTGTGAAATTTCTTCTTAATCGAGGACGTATCAAAAAGGATCATTTCTTCACGGATTCCTAGAAGTCTTTCGTAAGCATTTGTGGAAAAAGTGAGATCAAGAGCAGTTTAATTGCAGTTTAATTTTTTTTACTTTAATTTGTTAGTGTGAGTTTATTTATGAGATTAAGTCCATTAGCAAACTTGGTCTGCCAATATTTTCGGAGATGCGCAAGTTTCCGGCTTCTATCCGGGGGAACGGCACAGCTAAGTTAACACAAATCTTGCCACAGGGCAAGTTTGAGTGACTTTTGAACTTTGAACGTAAGTTTTTTTCACGTACGGTATATATATATATATATGTAGCTTTGGCGTTAAATAAAATTCTTACGCCAGTAAGGAAAATATATACATTTTAAACGCTTTCTGAAGCTTGCTTCAATATACGTTACAAGTGCGCTGACTAATCTATGTGGAGGGAGGAGTTTATTAAAAATATCGTTTCTATTGTTTTTGTACAGGAAAAGAATTTTTCTGCCGACATATACAACACCCAGAAGGACTTGAGATAGATCCACTTTCGATTCAGAAAGTGATTCCCAGCTTACCAGTCTGTCAGTCCGTCTGTCCATCTTGTTTTGTTATATGTGATATTTTCCGACCACTGCCTATATAAAGCCTTCTTTTGAAAAGTCGGTATATGAGTAAAAGTATTAAGCGAAGTGGTGTAGGGCGGTACTGGCAGACTCGTGGCTTTATATACAGTTTTCACTTGTTTTTTTTTTTTTCGATTTCTTTGAAAGTGTCGAGACTTATAATGGCTCATCAACTATTTTCGATGAAATACTTTATAAAATTTTTTGCTTAGTCGCTCTTTTTCAAAATCATTTTTTCTTACTTGAATAATACCGTGCAAAAACTCACTTTAACTTTTTGTCGATATTCGTCGACTATGGCATCTATGTCTGTGGAAGTGTCGGTATCGGAATTTTCAAATTTATCCGGATATTCAAAATCAGAAGCCTGCAAAATCGATTAATGCAAAAACTGAGAGAATTTAAAAAGAAAAATAAACGAATTTACTGGTGGTTCTCCATCTGATAGTATAGTCGACTCCACATCTTTGGTTTCCCTTTGCGGGCAAGGCGAAGTTGGTTCACCTAATAGAAGCCATTCTTTTTCGACTTCCTGTTTGTTTCTGGGTTTCGCTTTTGGTTTTTTATTTGTCGCTTGTTTCGTTATATTCAAATTCCAAAGGCTGCGTTTTAAGCGTGAAGAAGAAGCACTTGTTACCAAAGGAACGGTAGTTAAACGACTATAAGATAACGAAGACTCGGAATCTGGATTTGTTTTTCAATAAAATTTAATTTAAAGACTTCTTAAGGTTATGGCAATCGCTTACTATTTTGTTGTATAAATTTTGGACGAAATGGCGCATATAGTAAATAAAAGGAACGAAATAATATGGCGGACAAGTGACTGGCTGCCAATGTATGACTAAGATTTTGTAGAGGGCAAGCAAAAGCTAGCATGGCACAAAGACTGCCTGGAAACATGTAAAAGAATTAGGGATTAAAATTTATATGGAATTTATGGATATGAATATGGATTACCTCCTATAAATACTGCTAATACTGGATTTCCACTATCTGTAGACTCATAAGATATCTGTTTCGATAATATTCTCCACTCTGAGGTAGCAAATTTCACTATAATACCGTATAATTCGGGAAATAATTCTAAAAATGCTCCACTAACGGTTAAAAACAAACACCCAAAGAAATAAATAATAAAAGTTACGCTATTTTGTTAATTGTTTTATAAGCTTACGCTGTGGTTAACATTAGAAGACATGCAGCAGCAGGCACTAACTTATGAAAATTATTTTCATCTAATATATTAAATAAAGGCACAGCCACATAATTCTCAATCTCTCTGAAAAGGAAACGGTTTTAACAATTAATATATATCAGCATATCATCCGAGCATAATGAAGAAGTTATTTAATATTAAATAAGTAACCTGTAGCGAAGAATTGTGGTTAAGCAACCTGAAGCCAAAAGTAAAGATATTGTCACTAAAGTGATTAAAAAAAATCCTGTAAAACGTTGCCAACCAATACGTTGCATGGGATAGTCACTGGGGAAGGAAAATGTCAGCAGTGCTATCGCGGTAAGAAGCTAAATAAAAATGAATAATAAAAGTTATGCTATTTTTAATTTGTTTTATTAACTTACGCTATGGATGCCATTGGGTTGCAATAAAGTTTCATGCCAAGAAATTGCATTACCATCCCACCAGCTAACCGCACTTAAAATGGCATTTAGGCCAAACATTGCTAATGTCATAATCAAACTAAAAGCTTTTGAATGCTTTTCACAAAAACACCAAGAAAGAAAAGAGAGAAACATGAAAATCCCTTCTCAGTATATAATAATATTTGCATAGAACTCATAACGCGTACCTCTAAACCAAGCATAAACATGCCCGTGACAAGAAAAACTACAACAACGGCAATAGCATCCGGCCATGGTTCGTTGGCTGGTGAATTGCGGCCTAAAAGTGTTAGTTTCATTCAACACAATATGGATAGAATTTAATATATATATATATATGTATCAAATGTTCATTCATGATGCACGAACGTGTTTCTTCAATTCTTTATTTTAAGAATTCACTCTACAATTACATTAAATTTTCCTTTTTTACACGTAAACGCATGGAAATCCTCTTAATTGTGAGATTTTGAGATTAGAAAATATTTTCCTTATTTTGTAATAGAGTAGAGAGTGGTAATTGCTTGTCACGAAATATGCATCCAATCGAAAGTTCACTTTTATTGAAAAAATAATGAAACTTCAATGATTAGGACTCTTTATAAGTAAAGTGATTATAAATTTGAAAAGTTTGTTGAAGAACAGATTACCGAGAAAAAAATCAACAAAAAAGTAATTTCTACTTAACTATTGATTACAAAATCAATGAGGGGAATTAGGGGATACGCAAGCTGGTCATATATTTTACAATTCAATTCTTCCTCTTGCTTATGTAATTTACCGGCCATCATCTTGCTGGTCATATATTTTACAATTCAATTCTTTCTCTTGCTCATATAATTTTTACCGAGAGAGATGGAAAAAAGAATCCGACACAAAAAAATATTTCTTTCAACTCTTAGCACTATTCGATTCGAAAAATAGAAACTGCCTAAAACTATGCCCGCGAAACTGTATGAATATTCATTTTTCTTTATCCGAGGCATTTTTACAACGCTGCATCAATGTTGATCAGATGAAGTGCAGGCTGAAAGTATGCTAACGTAATTATATGAATATTCATTATTAACGCTTTGATGTTTGTAGAGTGAAAGTGTGCTTACGGCGTGAAAGGAGGAGAAGAGAAGGTGCAAGTGCCACTTACCTAAAATCATTATTCGCGCCAAACCACCTGTCATAGCATCTAAGCACATACTCAGCGTACGTGCTAAAATCCCAGAGGCGCATAACACAGCTAAAGTATCCATCCAAGTACCCAAGAACAAGCAGCCAAAATCAAATTTATTACTGGCTCGTATATAAGGTATTTGCAGAGCTTTTAAGCTAGTTTTGCAACGACCTGTAAAAAAATTTTTTATGAAAAATCTCTAATTAAGTATAAGCAGTTCGATGAAAGCATTTAAGGGAAAAATTATTGTTACCTGCTAAAGCAGCGTATATAGTGGCCAGGACAGAAGCCATCACTACAACCGGTGCGGTTGTCTCATTGTAGGCTAACAAATATACGAGAATAGTGGAGCCTAAAGCTAAACGAGCACCGCTGCCATTCGAAAGAGAATCTATTAAAAAACTGAAATAATAAAAATTCTCTTAATAATTGTGAAGCGTAATATGCAAATTGATAACATTAGTGATTACATGTTTCATATTTGTCTGCACAATGATTGGCAATTAAAAAAAAAAAAAAAAAAAAAAAAAAACAAGAAGAGACTCATTGCTTATTACACACACACATACACCCACACACACACACACACATACACCCACATACACACACACCCCCATTCGCACAGACAGGCACATACACATTGTTACATTGTTGGCATTGTGTCTGCCTGTCTAATGCTGCTATAGTTTATATTCTTTTATAATTTCAAGCATGCATTTGTTCGTGCTTATCTTTTCTTTTCTTCAAGCATTGTTCAAAGTAAAACTTATTAAGAATATTCACGTGTCTGCTTTAAGATTTCATCACTGTATGTACGCACATACCAGACATTTGTCCGCCCATTTACATTTTATTACGTGGCGTTAGCTTAAGGTGTGCTCCTCATTTACTTAACGTATACAGCAAGAGTTTGTTTATTGCATTCTTAACGATACTTAAACACTATCGCTTCTTTCAATATTTTCATGAAATTTTTGTTTTATTAAAATTACCGGAAACTAAAGCTAGTATAATTATCACATTAGGTAAGTGTTTGATGCCATGCCGCGATCAAAAGAAGGTCAAATCAATCTTTTTGTGATTCATTTTTTTTTTTTAGAGCATTTAAAGAATTCTGATCATGTTGGGTGCATAAGTTTTCGACTTGTGCGAATCGCTTATTTTACTTTTGCTTTAAATACTGTTTGCGGAGTATGTTGGAGCGTGTCTGGAAATTGAATATTTGATTTGGCGCCATTCATTCTCATTAAACTTGGCCATTTACACTTGACACTTACTTACTTGCTTTCTATATTGTTATCTTCCTCTTCATTGAGTCGTGATAACCAGAGGTACGTTTAACTTTGTATATGTATTTGCAGCAATTTAAGCATGTGTAGTTCGTCAAGTAAAATATTTCATAATTTAGAAAAACGTTTTATTAGTTTTAAGATATCAAATCAAAGATATCTTATTGCATTTGTTTTATTAAGATTTTTTTTCCTTAATTTTGTGGTTTTCTTTTATTACGGTAGGTGAGAGGCTGCTTCTCGCTTCTTTTATACTGATCTAAAGAGAGTAGAAAGGTCGCGCAAGCGCAAGGTTTATTCATATTTCGATGTAGTGAGTGTAGGCAGATATTTCAAATGCTTACACCCTAAACCCATTAACGTATTAGACGTGTAAATAAGATTCTATCGTTATTTTAGCACAAAAAAAAAAAAACATCACATTCTACTTAAAACACTGTTCCTCAGAAGTCAGAAGTCATTACTCTTCCCATCCTGTAGCCAGAATGTGATGTCTCTGCTGAAAAACCTGCTTTTTTTCTTTTTAGACTTTTCACAGAAGTTTCCTGCTCATAAGAATCGATCGACTGTTTGAACAGTCAATAAGCCAATTGGTGTTAATCAGAAGAACCAATGACTGGTGAATAAAGTGGGAAGAGTAGCACGCTCCTATTAGTAACATGGTTCAGGCGAATTCGCTCACATGGAGAAAAACTTCATCCTGCTGAGAAATCACGATACCAAGACTTTTGGCATAGGCATCCTATAGTACGGTGCGGTACTGCAGCACTAACTATGCTCCCTGGACTAACTATAAGCCTGGACGATTTTGTTGTAAAATACCACACACTTATGTATAGAAAGGTACAATTTTTATGAAAGGCGTTGCATTGGAAAATGCCCAAGACATGATCTGTTGTGGTCCAAATGCAGTAAAATCAATTTTCTTATCAATGATTTTGTTATTCTTTATCCATGTTCATCGCGAAGTAATAAAAAGTGCATTGTGTTGCCATATTTATTGCTTTGTTTTTACTCGTACAAGGGACAATGTCCGAAATGTAGGCCTAAGTCGTCTAAATTTTCTACAGCAAATACTTATGTGAAATTAATATACTAACATAAACTAGTTTTAATCTTAAAATATCAAAAATTTAACTTTTTTTGGCATATAAAGAATTAGTGATCCCTACGTTTCATATTAATTCAATATACTGATCAGCTACTACCTATGGACTTTTTATTGAGAAATGTTTAATATTGCAAATTTTCTGCACATGGCGACTTCTTCAAAAATGCGGTGCAGACCATGTCTGTGTGTTGTTGACGTTCTCCTATTCGCAAAACTGAATATATCGTCTTCTGCTTTGGCAGAAACATTGCAAGTTCTCGCAGGCAGCTTGGTATTGAATGCGGGCCAAATTGGTTAGAGCATAATCCCACAGCGAAGTGTGAACTGAGCGCAACTTTGTTTTTCTAAGCAAAAATCTATGGGGAGTAGAATGGGAACAGCTAAGTGTACCAATTCTAAATTCTAACTTTTCTCAACAATACTTTTCAGTGAAGTAAAAGGTCAATGTTGAATTATATCGCATTTACTTTTTTTTATGACAGTAAATAAAAGTGTGGGGCGCCAAGGATTTTGATGGTGTTGGGTAAGCGAGATTCGGCTTCAGCCGAATACAGCTCTGTCCCCTATTCTGTTTTGCTAAGTAGCCCTGAGCACTTAGTTTTCTGTTAGACTCCAATTACTAAATACTTTTACTGAAGAATAGTAATATTCATCGGCGAATATTAATTAATAACTTGCCCTCGTTTAGCATCAGTAAATAAAACCTTCGAAGTAGATGCCTTAAGAGTTATGTGAGAAGGTTTCCTCCTAAAATCCAAAGCTAGGTGTCATGTCACTGACAATGATAATGCATGAGGCAAACCATTGGAAGAAGACGATTGGGTCTCTTTCAATTATCCGAATTTATCTCTAAAGCTACATCTTGTTTGAATAGCGCGAAACTTGTTTATCATTTAAGCTACGCACATATCAGAAATTAGAATGCACGAACGTAACCACATCGCTCGGTGAGTAGAATATAAGAGGTACGTTTTCTCGAAAAATATTAATTTATTCATCTATATCTATATCTATTTTGCCCCTTCAAAGTAACCCCCCCTTTGGTAAAATATAGTGGTGTCACTTCTGTTTCCAATCCTCGAAGCACTTGTGTTGTGCGCTTTTTGGTATAACCTTGAGTTTCTCCAGCATTGCGGTCTTCTTCCCTCTTTGCGTCTTTTTAGTTTTGGGAATAGGAAAAAGTCGCAGGTGGCAAGTTCGGTGACTACAGTGGCTGAGGCATAATTGGATCAAAAAATTACGAACAAATTTGGTCAAAATTGTGCAATTTTGGAAAAAACTTCGCTGCCACATGTTTCATGCTCAAAACATGCAAAAAACTTGCTTGGCATCAATCTATCGATACGCCGACATCTTTAGCACCGGTCCTAGTAGTGATTTGACGATTATCCATACCGGCCATCGTCATTAACATCATCGTGGCCTTCTGTGGAGACCTGGTACCATTTATAAACATTCTTTTGTGATCAAAGTACACTCGCCAAATACCTCAAACAACATTTTAATTTGTTTTATAGCCAAGCAAATCGCTGGTAATGTTATGTACGTTCTGGACATATGTCCCAACATAACAAAAACAAAAATTTGAAAATCTAACTTTTTCCCTTAAACATTGCTTGTATGTACGGTTAAAATGTTTCCGATTCGTATGCGTAAGGGTTATAAACAGGATGGGAAAGACTATGTAACGAGTAAGGAACTGAGAATATATTCTTAAAAAAAAAAAAAGAAAAACGAGGCTTTTTTAAATACTATTTGCAAAAATTTTTATAAATTTTTATGCAAATAATGCCTTCATTAACCTACTGTAAGTTGAGGCCTAAAACGTACGACTTAAGGCAAATATAGTTTTCTTACTTACTAATCTATTCGTTTGTTTATTTTGTTTGTTTTTTGTTTTTTGTTCTTTTTTTTTTTATTTTTTGTAACTTTGACATAACTCAACGTGTGGTCTACCTCGGAGGCACGCGATGCAATTATATGCCATTCAAAATTTTCTAACGTCGTTTTGCTATGAAAATCCCTAAGACAAAAGAACAACATCTACGTAAAAGCAATCAATCAAAAAGGAAACCAAACAAAAAAAAAAGGGAAAAAATTATTTAAATGATAATAATGATAATAAAACTAATTTTAGCTATTAATTGTAAAGCAAAAAATCGATTTATTGATTAAAATCCAATAAGTTGCACAATAAATAAACATTGAAGAGAAACAAAAACACAAGTAAATCGAACTCGACTGTCTTTATATAAAAAAAAAAACAGTAGTAGTTTTTACTAACCTTGTAGTGGCCATAATTGTCCGTCGCCTCTGTCACTCGATCTTAAATAATAATAATGGCGTCTATCCAAAATTGAATTTATTAGCTTTAGAAATTTCGCGTAGAAAAATCATTTGTAAAACCACATAGTTCTCCTTAATGAGTTTTTTGTTTTTTTTTTTTTTGTTTTTTTTGTTTTTCTTTCCTCTCAATGATATCTTTTCATTAAGTTGAAAAAAAAAGAATTGCTTTTATTTTTCAACATCATACTCGTAACACATTTATTTTTCTATTAATAGAAAACTTATAAAAGAACGCAGCGGGCTTGCAAAAGAACATAGAAAACTGCTTCAAGTGAATTTTTCCATTTTATTATTTATTTAATTTCTATATATATATTTTTTTTTTTTTTGGGTTATATTTTGTTTTGATTTAAATTTTATCACACTTCATTATTGACTGATATATATATTGAATGATGAATGGTTTTTATTTGATTTCGATTTTAATCTCGTTCGTTATTGTTAATGTTTCAGTTAGTTCACGTTTGCCCTTTTAAGCCATTAAGAAAGCGCCGCTTACGTTCCTCAGTAATCCAACGCTATTTCAAACCAATCAAAAACTAAATAGACTTGCGTTGCTTTTTCATATTGTCATGCAACCATCGAAGATAAAAGAACTTTTGAAAGACCTTAAAGCTTAAAAAAAAAAGCCTATGCATTTTTAGATCCTGCGCACTGCTTTTATTTTGACTTTCTATCTATTGCTTCTCTCTGACTTTTATTTTGTTTCTATTTGTTGTTATGCAGTCAAAGAAATCTCAACTTTTACAAGCAATAAACGATTACAAATCTCTGGAAATAATTTATGCAAGAGCTCTTTCTGTGTATAGTCAAAGTATAAACTATTCTTACATACTACCGGAAAGAGGAAGCATAACTCATTTTGTATGTAATTGCATCTAATACCTGGGCACTACAAGCTGGCGAAGTAATTATGTGGTTGGTATCAGATTCTCTGTTTGAAGTTAGCATTAGGTCGTCTATTAACCAACACATGCGTTCATGACTTTGTTCATATATTATTTGTTCGCCTATTCCTGCGTCTCTCTATTTATTTTTCCCTATGTCCTTTTAATCTTTAGTTAAATCGTTGATCGGCTTTCGTTCTCTCATGTCATTCGCGTATCCTCTGAGATGTTTCTGTCCTTTGTCCCTTCTGTCCCTGTGTTCTTTCTCGGCCTCTTATTCCACGGCTTTCTGTACCTGCCCTATCCGTTTCTTTGGCTCTCTGTCCATCTGTGTCTTAGCTTTGCAGACGTCCCTACATACACTACTCTGTTCCTTTTTAGCCCGTCTGCCTGTCTATCCGCTTATCTACCTGTTTTTGAGCACTTGTTCCTTCGACTTTCGCTGCTTTCTCTAACCTTTTCTATGCTACCGCTTCTTTCCATCCTTTTCTGCACTTTTTCGACAATACTTTCTCTCTGAACTTTCTAAGCTAAACGCAAAAATGATTTAGAACTACCGACACATGCCAATTTAAAGAAAAGAAAGTGTGTTTTTGACTTGAGGTAGGTGTATAAGATTCGCCTTAAGACGAGTAAAGCTCTTCTCCAATTGTTTATCTTGCCCTAAAGATAGAGCGAGAGAACAAAGACAAGAGAACGTAAATAGATTACAAAAACAAATACATTTGTTTATTCCGTTGCTTTGAAAATTTTCTCACTTGACATGAATGATACTTAAAAACTTAATTGGTTTGCTCAGCAAAAATTCTAAAACAAAAAAGTAAACAAACGGCTGATATGAATGAAAAGCCTTGTAGTTGAGAAAGTAGATGCTATTATTTGACCGAGGCAGCAAACTGTGCTATACGATATACAGTATTTTTTTTTTTTAAATATTTTTCTTTTTTTTGCAAAAATTTGTATAGGAGATGTTCTCCCTTAGCTAAGAATTCAAATAAAAGAAAGTTTTCAAAACCTTAGTCATCTATATTTTATATATTTAATTAGTAGACCGAGTAGACTAACCACCTAGTCTAACGATTGGGAAGTAGATTGAATATTCCATCAGAGGGTTAAGCTTTGCTGAGTACCTAGATATGTAAATATGAAAACGGAAGTTTTTACAGAAATGACGGATTTGGTGCATGAAAGTGATAAAAAATGTTTTATTCGAAATATTGCCTATCTCTAGCTATTTTTTCGTCCACCTAATAATTAGCGGATGCGAAGGCTTTGAAAATCTCCACGTTTGCCCCGCGAACTATTAATCGAGTCGTTTTTTTCACATCTTTGTACGACCAAAAGCGTTGCTTATCGATAAGAATAAATGGGAAGGGCACGAGCCTCCTATATTTCCAATTAAGTGTCACATTTGATTGTGTCACGAACCGGTTTTTTAATACGGATAGATGGGCGAAAGATATGTAAAAAAGGGCCATTGGGTTCTCTTCCTTCATATCCTGTCCGTTCCTTGAATACCGAACCAATGAATTCGATAATTTAGCAGCGTTTGGTATGAGCCACTTCATCTGACTGTAACAGACCACACACGTTTGGTCTCACTAAAGAGAGAAAAGCGTGTCGGTCTTGCGATAAATGTGGATAGAACGCCTGCCAGGGATTTTTCAGTAACAATACGATGAGAAGTACTTCTTTATATGGTTCGGATAAAGACGTGGTTGACCTGTGCAAATTCTTAGAGGAGAAGTAGAGGGGCCCAGATCATGGCATTGTTTTGCCCATATTTCTCCTTAGACACGAAAAGTTTTCCAAAAAAAATACCGGATGGCACTTCAAGATGGACGCGAAAGCATTATAGACCGTACTATTAAGAACGGTCGGGACATTAACCTACGGACAGCTGCTCTACTCCTTGCAGCGAGTGTGCGGGAGGTGCGAAGTCTCCCTCCTGTCCGTTGCGAAAGGGTTTTAGGGAGATGTCGTCACTCCAGCAGCGTGCAGGCGTGAAATAGCGGAGTGTTAGCTGGGCCTCGTCTAGCTCACAGAAGAGGAAAGAGCTCAGTTTATATCTTTACTTCATTCCGGCGCTCTAAAAAAGTGGTGTCCCTTAATCTGTGGAGATTGTTGCTTTGTAGTGAATGTGTATGACATTGGGCATTGAGGAGGGAGCATTAAACACTCAGTGGCGTAGATGTCCACGTAAAATCGCTACAGACAGTTTTTTCTTTATATTAGGCTTTGAATAAACTTGAAACCCATATTTGCTATAAACATTCTGTGTGGATAAGTGAAGAGTGTATAAGCTAAACTTCAGCTTTCCACCACAACTTCTGCGGCGAGTAGTGCTCAGAATAGAAACAGGTAGATAGATCGCAAAGGAATTTGAAATTGAATTCAGACTCTTACACGATTCAAGGATATGTACATTTTAGAGAGTGGCCTAGAGCTTATTTCTGCGTGTCACAAACGCAAAGGTAAGTCTAGTATGTGCTCAGCTTTGCCGGCTGGGAATTAATAAATGCAAATTAAATAAAAATTAATTGTTAAAAAATTGTAAGAAAACGTTCATAGCAGAGATTTAATGCAAGTTAAAATGTACCGCAAATGGTAGTTAAGTCGTAAGTCAACGATTGTTTATACAGTTAATATTTATATATTAAACTTAATTTATGTTTAAATATTTATTTTATTATCGAGATGGCTATTGTATTATATATCACTTTTATTTTTATTTTTAATTAATAAATATTCATTTCGGAGCGTCCGTCTATTTGTAGGTCAATGAATCCATATACATACACAGTAAAGTTTATGTGTTTATATATTATGTATGTATATAAATATCTAGCCACCCGTCTTTTTTTTTTTTTATGTTAGCTAAACATTGAATTAGATTTTTTTCGAGTCAAGCTACTTGCATTTTATTGTTGTCTTAACTATGAATGATAGGCTAATGTTTGTAAAAGCGGCATTGTTTAATCAAAAAAAAAAAAGTATTAGCAATGTTAGCGATAGCCTTATTTGTTATTCCCGTCGATTTAGGTTGAGGTCATATGAACTTTGCTTATTCTCTCCCAATACTGAACGCTAGGAACTAGAGTCTGTTTCAAAACGTATCAGAACATACTTGCACACCTCAACGACGATAGGTTATCGGTAGAGTTTTATATCTGCAGGACCGTCGTAATAGTACAGGTAAGTGCAAACTAGACGACTCACCTAGGAACAAAATTATACAAGGCGCCACTATTATTAGGCATCCTAATAAAAGTATCCAAGAAGCAATAGAGAGGAGAAGGACTAATGCTCTGATATCTGTTCTTAAGAAAGCTTTTGAAAAAGCTACACTGCCGTTCGCATTATCGCATCAGAGTATTTCGGCCACCACAATATGTTCGCGACAAAAATTATTGAGACTATTCGTCTCGTCCACAAGAGAAAGGTCTAGCTTATGGACAACAAGAAGGTAATGCAGATAGGCAGGCATAATATATTTTTACAGCTTTCAAAAAGGAGGGACGATGTAATTCGCGCTAACTTTTACGCTGTGACTGTCTTAAAAAATGGGACTCTGAAGGTTTAGGTTAGTTTTGTTTGCTAGCTTACCTAAGTCTGGCGAAGAAACTTAACCTTAAGACTTTTTTCGTGTTCTTTCAACCGTGCGTTAATGGTTATGGGAAACACAAGTTCTTAAACTATTTCAGAAAATCGATTTTGCGAGCATACCGAGTAAACCGGTATTGAAGACATTTTGAGTGCAATTTGGGAAAAAACAATTTTAGTCACTACTTTGCCACCGCTTTATATAAATCACCTAAGCCACTTGTATCTTTAAAATTGACACTTGAAACTTTACGCTCGATTTTCTCGAAACTGGCTTTCTTAATAATTCTCACTTTGTCATATTCACTGCACTTTACCAACGATGCTTACTTTTATTCTTCACTTAAACAACTCCATCTATGATACAGTTACTTTACATATCTTACAATTGGATTATTAGTTAATCGTTAAAACATATCCGTTTATAAGATGCCTTTATTACTTACAGATGAGGTTGATGAG